GGGACAGCCGGCTTGGGAAGGGGTGTGTTTGACAGCCGCAGCAAGTGAGAGCCGCGGCTGTCCTGTTTCTGTGCATGTGCAAGAACATCCTTGCTGGTTTCTGTACGGGATCTCCTCACTTGTGTGTGAACAGAAAATACGGTTCCCGGGGGGCGCTTCATCGTGCTTTCGTTAATTGCGCAATGATGCTAGTTGCATCTGATAGCCATTTCCGTATTGTGAGGTTTCTACCGGTATAGTTCTGGATTGATTCTTATATCGCTTTCTTGCCGCTTTGAGCCAATAAGGTCCATGGAAACCCACTGGGTGACCTTGGGCAAGTCAGACTCTCTAAGCCCCTGGATGGCAATGGCAAAACCCCTCCAAAGAAACCTGCCCAGAAAACCCCATGATAGATCCCCCTTAGGGTCACCATAAATCAGAGATGACTTGAAAGCACACAACAATATAATCTGAGGCATCAGACTTCAGTTTACTTAAATGGAATCTTAATCTGGCACTGCTAGTAAATTTGGCAAATACTTTGCATTTATTACACTCTAAAGCTCCAAAAGAACAAGCGCAGTCTCTCCTCCTTGTAAACTGCGTGTGATAATTGAAGGCAAAGCCAATGCTTTTTAAAAATTTCTTTTTAGTGTACAAAAATGGCTGCTAAATTCTTTCTTTCTAAACCCCATATTTCCTCTTTGTGAAGAAATTTGTAGAGATCATGCTTCATTCTCATTCTCTCTCACACACAGACACACACACACATTCCCTTATCAGCTGTTCCTCTGCATTTTCTCCATCTTGCTGTCTGTCTGAAAGACAAATACATCCTTCCACACAAATACTCTTTCTGTACATTCTCAGCTGTCCACAAATCCTGCCCACCTTACACATCCTACTATCCTCACATTTGGAGTCAATGAAATAATATCCTTTTTCTCCCAAGAGCATTATTAACTTCCAACAGACGTGTAACTACAGTTGATTCTATTCATTTATGAAAAAAACTCATGGGATGTTTTAAAAAGCAGTGTGCTGATTTAGTTAAAGACGAAACCTGTTCTTAAGAAGGGCTTGCTTCTCAAAAATCATTAACAACATCTGTTTACATAATATGGAAATGTAGATAACATTAAAATCCTAGTATTATTATAATTTTAAACAAAACACTTTAAATGGGAAAAGCAAACAGAATATTTTTGTTTGAGTCAGCAGAATGCCATGAAGTGGACAAATGCAGTTAGGAAGGAAATTTAACTTTATATATAAATTCAAACTTCTTACTCAGTAGTTGTAAAACCAGATAGGAACAAAAGGAAAGATAAAGACTATATTTGCTCCATCCCCTAATGCATGTTTTCATTGCTCTTTTCATGTGGAGCATGACTTTCTGAAGAGGAGAGTCTACATGGATTGCAGGTTTTCCACAAGACCCAAAATGCCAGAAAATCAATGGTCCTAGTCCCATGGATAACCTCCAGACAAAGCGGAGGTTCTCCTGGTCACATGGAAAGTCTCTTGCATGGGGAAGGCTCTCTTCTTCACTAATGTTTTTCCATGTGATGGAAATGATGAAGTTGCTTCCACGGTGATAGATATGATGGCAGAGGGAGTGGACAAGTACACCCTCCTTGTGTGCTGATTTTCTTCAGCTTTATAATAGCTGAATAGGCTTAAAGACAAGCTCTTTGTAATATGACTAATGTGCCATATTATATCTCAAAAGAAAAAATCTATGTTAAGAAATGGATGATAGAAGAAATTTTACTGCTAACAGGAAACAAAGAGAAATGGAAAAAAATTGAGATAACACAGAATATAAAAGAAATAGGAACATCTGGGGGGAAAAGAACAGAGAAACTAAAGAAAATGGTGGGTCAAACAATGTACTGTAATAGAATATCTATCAAAAATCTATGACTTCTTCAGAGGACATAAAAAGATTAACAAAATAGCAGACAGGTTCCATGACCACTACTGATGAACTGGAATAATTCTTTGATAGTTATGTCAAGGGTAAAATTGCAGTCTGGAGTAATTACACTAAATAGCTATTTGAATATAATAGACCAGAATTTGTTGTACTAAAAATTGATACAAGAACAGAAAACTGCATTTTAAAATGCAATAAAGTTCAGTGGAGAGCTCCCTGACTTCGTGTTTTTGCAAAAATATTAAGAAAAGAACAATTTGGATGTTTTAGTGCATCTTTTTAATCATTATAGAATGAGACCTGAAATTTGATGATTTTTTTATTGCACTGCATAAAAAGGAAAAGGCCAAAGTATAAAGTTAGCACAGAACTATAAGTTTAATGATCCATTTGCTTAAGGCTTTTTTACCTCTTGAGAATAAAGATGGGGTAGGTTGGCCAGAAAAGAAAGGATTAGCCCTGTGTATTTCCCATCCATAGTTAACATCTGGACAAGAAACTGAGCCAGCTCACAGGGCTCCCCTGCTCACACTCTCCCCCTGACCTAGTGAAATGTATTGTATTTCTTTATTGTATTGTATTTCTTTAAAAAAAAATTGTTGTTGTTATCTGCCTTTGTCAATCTCAACCCATCTTAAGGCCCCTTTGTTCAATACTGCTCTGCCCAGCTCCTGCAAAATAATAT